TATATATATATATATTTGTAAGTTATAATTTTTTAGAAGGTATTATCTGAACAAGACTATAAAATATGAGTTTTAAATGATATTGTTTAATTCAAAACTTAGTTAAATTATGGTAAATTGAATTATGGCTCAGTAAATGTAAATTTTTGAAATCTTAATGGAAAGTATTTGTTGTTATGTTATAATGTTTTGAACCTGAAAAAGACTATAAAATATAAGTTATAAGGCGTGTTGTTTAATTTAAAATTTAATTCAAAATTCAGTGAAATTCCAGTAAATTTAATTATGCTTTAGTTAGTGTAAATAACTTTGACAAATTGATACAATTTACAAATTGTTGGTAGATATAGACTTTGCAGAATACAATGAAAAGTGAATATATAGCTTAAACCACACATTATTATTAAACTACTTCTTTTTATTGCTAATTAACATATCAACACAAATTTATGCATACAAATTCTTATTTAATCACTTAATACTTACTCTTCTATCACATACCCAAAGCATAGGGCCGTGTTTTGGACAAGCACCTTTGTAGTCACAGTCACAAAAGTCACAATCTGTACACGAAAGAAATAAATCAACAATTTTCGAAATGATCATATGTACGAGGATAATAAAACGAATTTTCCACTCAGTTATGCATTATTAGTAATTTAAATAGACTCTCATATTTTGAAAATTAATAAGGCCAAAGTGTAGTATTTTTTTGCAATTCATTTCAATTCAAATGCGAACTTTTTATGTTAAATATTTCAACGTATTCTTTGTCAGTAACTGCAAGTGGTGAGCTGAATTTTTTTAAATAAACAAAAATTATAAATTGCGCATCAAATATACTTCTTAGATAATTGATGAATATAAAAAGTATGTTTTTTAAATATGTTTAGTGTATTTTTAAGAGTTTAGTTCAATAAATATAAATAAACTACTAAAAAATGGAGGTTATTGCTCTTGCAGTAAATTAAATTGAAAGAACATTATCCTTACTATTTTTTTTTACTTTCAAATTTATCTAGAATGTTATTAGAGAATTAACACAAATGCTCTATAATTACAATAAAACATGAATTATAATATAACAAAGATATAAATGAAGGGATTTATAATTTGTATTTTTTTTGACATTTTTTCTTGTTGGAATATTGAAAAAAGGACATCATTTTAAAATTCTAGTTTAAGTGTAGTATTTGTTAAACAATATTTTCCGAAATATTGAAACGAAAGCATATTATTTAGTAAAATGCGACGGTGGCTTATGGTTAATTAATATCGTTTTGAAGAAAATTAAATTTTTCATTGAAATAAATTTTAATTTTCATAATTCTAATTTCATACAAGAAACATTGAATGATCTTTTTAAAAACAGTAATACTTTTTTTAATGTCCACTTGGTCTCAGCTTTTATAATCTTTCAAAAAATGTCAGCTGACCGCAGAGCAAAATAGCTTTTAACTGTCTTTCAATGCACAAATTTCTTAATTTCAGTTTTGAATTGATTACTCAAATTTTTGAGGATAAAAAGAGTTAAATAAATCAACTTTTAAAATCTGATCAAAAACTCATAAAATTATTCATGTATTTTCAAGTGAGCAAGCAATTCAAAAACTATTTAAGCAAATAAAGCACTCAGAATGAAGTGATCTGCATTATGTGATAATTTAAATATATATTTTATAAATAAGGTTTTAAAAATATACTTACACAAGAACTCGTCCTCACTAGAGACATCCTCTTCCTTGTAAGATCTTTGTTTCGTATTTCTTTTAGGATACCGACGTGGTATTTCAAGCTCTAAGTAAGAATTGAGGTTAGAATTCAGGTAAGAATTGAGTTGGTTGGTATTTATTACTGATTTGATTACTGATAAAATTTTGTAATTCGTTGTTTTTTTCTGGGTAAAGAATTGCACAAACAATTAAACCATTGTTTTAATTAGAAAATATTACCTGAATTGATTAAGTATCATTGACATCAATGATAGTAAAGCGATTTTCTACGTTTCTCCTAAATAAACCAGAGTAACATTTTTCCATCAATTTTTCCTTTCAGTGCTCAGCTGTTTTTATTTTAGTTAGTAATTATTACCAAAATTTACAATGATATACACGTGACAAACATAATGACAAGGTTTTGCGTCAATGTTTTTAATACTCATCTCTAAATGAACTATAACTTACTTTTTGATTTTAATTAATGTCGATTCAAAATTACTTAGTTTTGTAGAAGCACGTTTTACAAGCATAGTTATTAAACAAAATAAACACTTGGTTTCAGATAAATTCAGAAATATTATTTTTGGGTCACAATTCGCCTATGCTACCACGTTTAAGCGTTCACGTTTATCACTTAATTAATTTGGCACAACGAATAATTAATTATCTTAATGAATAATAAATTATTGAATCAATTCTCGTGCAATAATTTTCTTTTCAATGAGAGCTATAGGAAAAACAACATTGATGTCATTTTTAAAATATTTAATTAAAAGGAATAATTTGCAGTTTAAATTTTGTCATTGGTTAGTTCTAAGCCAATAAAAAAATTCTATTTTTTAAACTCTCTCCCGAATAATCTAATGGAAAGTTTTGAAGGAATTTTATGATGGAAGGCTAAAATGGTCTTCTTTCATTTACTGTCCAATTTTCAGGACTCTAGCAGAAATGGGATTCTGTAAGTTATCAAAGAGACAGACAAAGAGACAAATAAAAATTTTGAATTATGCCTGTTTACTCCTCTGACAAGGCTACCTATAAAAGAGAGTTGTAGCTTCTAATTTAGTTATTCAGATAAATCCAACAAACTACAAGTTATGTTGACAGATCCAACAATTTCGAAGTTAGAAGTATTTCATGCCTGAAAAATAGGTTTCTATAAATGTAAAGTACGTAACGAAATTCTAAGTCATATCGACTTATTTTTGGTGCCAGATGATTTCGGGTAAAAAATAAATAGAATTCATTAAGATGCTTGCTCCTACATATCTGAAAATGTAAACTGGTGTGAACATAAAGATTGTAGTTTTTATACATGAATTTCATATTTTTTATTCAAATAATTTGAACAAACCGGTCTATTTTCAGTAAACTTAATTTGATCTAGCACAATAAATACATCATAAGCAGCAATGTCTAAGTAAATTCCAAATGTGGACTCGGAGGAGAAGAACTTCTGTTACCCATAGTGGATCTTAATCATAGATTTCCCATTTCTCCGAACTATTTCAATATTCAACAACCCACAAACTTGCTTCGAATAGTAGAACCTAATATGTAAAATTAAATAAGATACCATAGAGTTGAAAATTGATTTCACTACGGATATTGTTAAGGCTTCTTTACGAGCTACATATATATATATTTTGTGGGAAAATCTAAATATGAAATACTGTAGTTTTTAACATTTTGAATTACATTCATCCTTTAAACGTGAGAAAATCAATTATAAATATTTGTGTCGTAAATGTTAATTTGGAAGTAGTAGAACAAAAATAGTTGTTAATACAATAAAGTTCAATCTTGACATAAAAGACCTTGTTAAATATAAATCGATATGTTTATTTTCTAATACTATATACCATTTAACAATTTTTTAATACCATTTAATTCTTTCTATAATTCCAAATTTTATACAGAAAAGACATGCCTAATAGCTTTATATGAAACATGTACTGAAAATTTCAACAAAATCAGAATTGCTACCAATCCTAGACTGACTAATTTTTTTTAAAAATTTGGCTCTTAAAAAATTGAAGACATGCTGTAATAATTGTAAACTCTAACACTTTTGGAAATAAATTACATATCAATATTTTGAAGTACCATGTAATTGACATTACATGAAAGTACCCTATTCATTTCATTATCATATTCATCCATGAAGTACTCCATTCGTTATCATAACTCCATTGTATTTGAGTGGAAGAAAATTCGAGACAATATCTTCAATCTGTAGTTTACACTGTTTTTGCTCTACCATATACTAGTGTAACTTTAATTTAATTAATTTACAGTCATAAATGTAAAGTAATTTTGAGAAGTTTTGAAAAAAGATAAATAAATATTATGTCAGATATAACGATACCGTTCTTAATAATTTAAATATTTGAAGTAAAAGTAATGAAGCATTATTATAATAGGTCTATTTATTCTATAGACGATTGCACTACCTATGAAAAGTATAAATATATATATATATATA